AAGTAGGTGCTTTAGACCACTGAGCCATCTCACCAGCCCCTCTTTTATTTTAATTTTATTGAGAAACAAATATGAATGAGACAGTTTCAAAGCTGATTAATAGCTCATTCTCTCTCTCTGTCTCTCTCTCAGAAGTTGGAGGATATGTATGTACTAGGAATTGAACTCATGGAGTGCTAAGCTTTTTTTTTTTTTTTTTTTCTTTTGTACCAAGGATCAAACTTGGGACCTTGTGCTTGGCAGGCAGGCATTTATGCCACTGAACTATCTCCCAGGCCCTGGCCTTGAACTTTGGATCCTCCTGCCTAAGCCTCCTGAGCTGGGTTTACAGATATGCACCATGGTGACTTTATGTTTGGCTTTTCACCTGTCCTGCCCATTTTGGTGTTGTGGATACAATCAGCTGTATTTTTCTCACCTCAACTTTTTCCTGTTCTTTTTTCTTAATGTGTTTTGTACAGGGTCTCACTATGCAGCTCGGACTTATAGTAATTCCCCTGCTTTCAGCCTCCCTGGCGCAGGCATTATAGGTGTGCACCACCATGCCTGGCTTGCTGGCTCAGCGAAGGGGAGGGGCAGCACATGGTGCCAGGGATCAAATCCCAGTCCCTGGGCTTGCCTAAGCAGGTGCTTAGTCCGCTGAGCTGTCTCATCAGCCCTCCTGTTCTCATTTCGTGACACTGCTTATAGTTGGGATTGTGCTTGCTTCAGCTGAGCTCTTCACCCTAATTTGTGCTGGAAGGGATGGGCTCATGTACTCAGCATTAGGGTGGTAAGTTAGCTGAGAAGTTGCAGATTGTGAAACAACCCCACATAGTCATCTGCTGCACGAGAGTAGCCTGGTGCACTGGGCTGGGCTGGGCCAGGCCACACAGTGGCATTTTCTTTTTTTTTTTTTTTTTAATTTTATTCATATGTGTGTGTGTGTGTGTGTGTGTGTGTGTGGCCAGCTCAGCCCACCAGGGGGCGGGGCCGGCTGGCATGTGGTGCTGGGGGATTGAACCGCGGTCCCTGTGCTTTGCTAAGCTTGTTCCAAGTAGGTGCTTTAGACCACTGAGCCATCTCACCAGCCCCAAAATTTTAATTTTTTTTTTTTTTTCCGGAACCGGGGATTGAACGCAGATCCTTGGGTTTGCCAGTCAAGCGCTTATTCTACTGAGCCATCTCCCCTGCCCCGGCATTTTCTAAAAGTGCCCCAGACAGGCCTCCTGTGTGGCCAGGCATGAGAAATGTTGCTTTACACCCATGTTCCTTTCCTTCCTGAGCATGGAGAATTTCATAATTGATTTTATTTTTAAATGTGACAAAATTTTTTTTTTATGCTCTTGAGACATCTCGTTATGTAGCCTCCAAGCTTCTGATCCCCCGCCTCAGTCTTCCGAATGCTGGGATTACAGACCTGCATCTCCACACTAGGCAGAATGTTCTCAAGAATTTTACTTGGGGGCTGGTAAAAGAGCTCAGCAGACTAAGCGCCTGCTTAGGCAGGCCCAGGCACTGGGGTTTGATCCCTGGTGCCACATGCCGTGGTGGCCCCGCCCCCGGGTGTGTGGAGCGGCCACCGGGACTGGACATGGTGGCGCACGCCTGTAATCCCAGCAATGGGGAGGCTGAAAATGGGAGATCCCTACAGGTCTGAGCTGTGTACTGAGACCCTATACCAAATACATTAAAGAAAAAGAACTTTGAGGTGGCAGCCCGTGTTGGTTGAACACGTGGGCACTGTCCAGTGACACTGACGCAGTTCTACCCCGCACCTCTGTGCAGCAGCACCTCAGGGTGCGGCCCACTCAGTGGGTGTGGCTGCTGGGTGGCTCCTACCTGGAGTCAGCTGTGCAGGCAGGGTGCTCCATCACAAGCCCTTTCCTCTGTGACCGCACTGTCCTTTCTCACGCCCTTCCCAGATGAGGTCCAGGCCATCGCCACACTGATTGAGAAGCAGGCACAGATCGTGGTGAAGCCTCGGGTGGTGACGGAGGAGCAGCGGCAGAGGAAGGCAGCCCTGCTGGCACAGTATGCGCACGTGACTGACGAGGGGGAATATCCTTGCCCGCAGTCAGGGCGTGGCTCGGTGACTTGGAGAGGGAGGACAGATGCAGGGACACTGTGTGTGTGCTTATGTGTCCTTCACTTTGTTTTCTCTTATAAAAATGGTAGTGACCTAGCTGGGTAGGTACCACACGGCAGGAAGATAGCAAGTTCCAGGCCAGCCTGGCCACTAGGGACTCAACAAGTAAGGGCTCAGGGTGTGGCTCAGTGCAAGTCCAGGGTTCTACCCCTGGGACTAAGAAGAAAAAAAAGCAACTCTCGGTGGCCTTATATGGCCGTGAACCATGACCTGAGCAGCTGAGCTGGTTGCTTACGTGCATGTATGTACACACATGTACATGCACACACATACATGGACACACTCCTATATGTGCATGCTCACATACGCCCACATACCTGTACACACATGCACACATGTTGGTGCTTCCGATGGAGCCTAGAGCCTTGCACATGCTGAATACGTGCTCTGCATGAGTGACGCATTAGCCGAGCTTCTGTTTCTAACATAGAATCAGTACATTCCTGAAGACTTTAGTGTAAAACAAATTGTGCTTGAATAGTCTGTTTATATTGTGCTTTCAGAACATTTGTGTCTAATGGTTTTCTGTCTGGTGTAGTGTCCTGGGTGTACCTGAGGCACTAATTAGAAGTGGAGGCACCAGGACACTGGTGGCAGATCAGAACCAGAAGCTGGGTGTTGTGGGGGTTACAGTGCGTTAGGAGCAGTCTTGTGGGCCTCTTTCCAGTATAATCATAGTTAAAGATAGAGCTGCCCAATCATGGTGGCATATGCCTGTCATCCCAGTACTCGGGAGGCTGAGGTAGGAGGAGTATTGTGAGTTTGAGGCCAGCCGGAGCTGCAGAGGGAGACGCTGTCTCAAAAAGACAAAAAACAGTAGAGTTGAAGGCCCAGGCAACACCAGAATAAATCTGGAATTTGAGTGCGGAGTGTACAGAAAGCAAGTGTTGGCGGTTGGCTTGGCACTTGTGGGTGGGATGTTGATGGGACATGCCCAGCTATCCTGGTGCGTGCTGGTGGGGTTGGAGCGATGTGCTGAGGCCGTCACCCTAGAAATAGCAGCAGCAGCAGCAGCGTGGCTGTGAGAATTGCTACTGCTTCTGGGTGTTTCCATTCCACGAGTTCCTTTTGACTGTCTTGCCAGAGTTGGCAGCACTGTGGCCCTCAGGACAGTATGTCATTTCTTCAGTAAGAAAAGGACTTTGGGGCCGGGGAGATGGCTCAGTGGAATAAGTGCTTCCCTGGCAAGCGCAAGGGCCTGAGTTCAATCCCCGGTTCTGCCAAAAAAAAAAAAAAAAAAAAAAAACAACCAAAACCTTAAATTCACTTTGGGGCCAGGGAGATGGCTCAATGGAATAAGCGCTTCCCTGGCAAACGCAAGGGCCTGAGTTCAATCCCTGGTTCTGCCAAAAAAAAAAAAAAAAAAAAGAAAGAAAAGAAAAGGACTTTGTATGCTCAGCTCTGCTGGAGAATTTCTTCTTCGTCGTCGTCTTCTTCTTCTTCTTCCTCTTCTTCCTCTTCCTCCTCTTCTTCTTCCTCCTCCTCTTCCTCCCTCTCCTCCTCCTCCTCCCCCTCCCCTTCCTCCCCCTCCTCCAACTCCTCCTCTTTCTCCTCCTCCTTCTCCTCCTCTTCTTCATCATCATCATTTGGTACAGGGTCTCAGTATGCAGATCAGACTTGTAGTGATCCTCCTGTTTTCAGCCTCCCCAGTGCTGGGATTACAGGCGTGTGCCACCGTGCCCATTGGCCAGCTCAGTGTTTCAAGTGGTGGGGCCAGTGCGGCATATAGTGCGGGGATCGAACCCTGGTCCCTGCGCTTGCCTCAGCAGGTGCTTAGTCTGCTGAGCTATCTCGCCGGTCCTAGGACACAATTTCTAAATGGAGAGTTTTTTTTTTTTGAGATGGCTATGTAGTGTGAGCTGGCCTTACCCTTGTTGTGTAGCCCAGGCTGGCCTCAGATTGCCAGTGATCCTCCTGCCCAGCCTCCTGAGTGTTGGGATGCCAGGTGTGTGCCTCACCCGACTTTACCATGACACTCTGACAGGGCCCTCTCTGCGAGCAGCCTGCTCCCTGCCTGCTGTCGGGTGCTCCGTTCTGATGCCAGGTTGGGCTGTGCAGGCCTTCGTTTCTGTCCAACTTTTCCTTAACATCAGTTACTGAACCAGATGAAAATGATGATTCAGGCGCTGGGATGAACACCGGTTCTGACAAATGTATCCTTCTATATCTGTGCCACGTGTCTCTCAAGATCCTCTTGGAGGTCACCTTTTATGCTGCTGTCATTGTTAGGGCTCTCTCTAGCCAGAACTTTTGTCATGCCAGTACCAAGAGCCACCTTAGAAGGACCAGATGTCTTAAGACAGTATGACGAACCTGTGGCACAAGTGCCACAGCCAGCTGCTTGTGGTCCTGGAGAGCTCTGCAGTGTTTGCATCACTGCGGAAGCACTTTCTCCTGCCCAGGCAGTTGGTGGGCTCCGGGCAGGGCTGGTTGGGAGGGTGGCTGTCCAGCATCTACGGCGGGGCGCAGATCTGGGTTGTGTGGCACTGTACAAAGACTCTCCACTTTAAGCTGGAGATGCACATAGCAAAACATGTGCGCTGAGGAAGGCCCCTTCTGACAGACTCACTTCCTGAGCTGCTGCCCAGAGAAGGTGGGCTTCTAAATTCACCGTGGAGCGCAGGAGGACGCTGGTTGTTAGGAAAGGAGAGCTGATCACATGGACCCTCAGTCATTAACTTTGGGTGCTGCGGTTAAACCTCGAGTCTTGTGCATGCTACGCACATGCTTCAGCTTTGAGCTGTACCCTGAGCCTGAAGCACTAAAGTAGAAAAAGGTCGTGTTTTAAGACAGGTGCTTTGGGCTGGTGAGATAGCTCAGTTGACTAGGCGCCTGCTTAGGCAAGCACAGGGACCAGGGTTTGCTCCCCAGTACCGCGTGCCGTGCCGGCCCTGCCCTGGGGCACTCTGAGCTGCTGCCAAGTCTAGGCGTGGTGGCACACACTTGTAAGCCCAGCGCTTGGAAGACTGAAAGCAGGAGGATCACTACGAGTCTGATCTGTGTCGTGAGACCCTGTAGACCTTGTACTAAATATGTAAGCAAAAAATGTAAAAAGACATGACTGTACAGTTTTTGGCTATTTTCCAACAATTATAAAACTTTGTGTCTTATAAATTCTCTTAAGCTTTAGTAGTATAGAAAAAAATTGATAAGATTATTTAACTTTTAAAGCACTTTCTAGTGCCATGTGTATAGTTTTACACTTCTGTCACTGAGACTATCATAGCTATACCGTGAACGTTCTACTGTTGAATATGGATTCACACTTGAGTGAAGCTGTATTTTGATAATGTACTTTAAAATTTAGTTTACCTAAATCTGAAAAGAAAGCCAGAAAGCCCCCTGCAAAAATAGAGTGTGAGAGAGAGAGCAAGCAAGCGAGAAACCTCAAAGAAAAGTCTGAAAGGGATTCTTAATCTGAAAGACATTTTAGAACTGTCCTGGTAGCGGTAGGACTTCTCTGTAGAATAAGATAATGCAAGGGTTATCGTGGAAGGCTGGGGCCCGGCACGTGGAGAGGGGAGCAGGCTGAGGAGGGTGTTGGCTGGGTCTTCTGCCACCTGTGTCTCAGTCCCTTAACTCGCTCAGCTCTGTTCCGAAACACCAACTTGGAAGACGTCCTCAGCGCTCGGAGGCTGGAGCGAGACTCACTTCGGGATGAGTCCCAAAGGAAGAAGGAACAGGACAAGCTACAGAGAGAGAGGGACAGACTAGCCAAGCAGGAGCGCAAGGAAAAGGAGAGGAAACGGACCCAGAGAGGGGAGCGGAAGCGGTAACCTTGGGCTGCACTGCACTCCCGCTGGGGGACCTCAAGCTGTGCTGGGTATGCCTGCGCGGACTGAGCACCTCAGCGAAAGCCTTCTGCTTTTGTTTATGGGGTTAAAAGGAAAATCACAATCATTCTAATTAGGACAGGTGCATTCAGTGGTCTGGGCAGTCACATTACAGGTGATGTTCTCTACCAGGGGCCTGGAATGGGGCAGCTTTTATATTTTAATACTCAAGTCCCAGGCTTCTTTAGCTCCTTTTAAAAAAGAAACTTTTGGATGAAGTACAGGATTCAGGAAGTTGAGTCAGGTTCGTCCTGAAGGAGCGGAACCAGGACCCCACTCACCCGATTCTTGGTGCACAGCAGCAGGGAGCGCAGGCTGCTCTGGAGGGGACGTTCACCCCAAATGTAGCAGTTTCCAGCTGAGCTAGAAAGGCTGCTGAATCCAGAGTTTATAGGCTATGTCAGCAAACTAGAAAGGACAAACTATTTGGTGAGGGAATGTTATAAAGACCTGAGAATGTTTTTAAAGAAACTTTCAGCTTGAGCAGGGGAGATAACTCGGCAGCACAAGTGCCTGCCTGGCAAGCGCAAGGTCCTGAGTTGATCCCTGGTACCAAAAAAAAAAAAAAAAAGTCAGTGTACAAGAGAAAACAGTCTCTTTAAATAGGTAGTTAAGCATTTTTCATCTAGGCAGTGACTTTAGGAAAAGTTGGTATTGCGTGCAAGGATGTCATTGTTAACTAGATTAATTTTTATAATCATGGATCTCCTTGAATGCAGGTGGATTTTAATCTTGATTGTCCTAAATCATGACTTTTATGACCACCAGTTCCTGGTTTAAAGAAACTGGAGGAATTACCCTTGTAGGAGAAACCCTGGAACCCTTTGTGACATAG